TGTGTGAGTGAGTGTGCGTGGCTGTCCGTGTGTCCGCACATGTCTCCATCCGTGTGCGCGTGTCTCCGTCCGTGTGCGCGTGTCTCTGTCTGTGTGCACAGGCGTTTCCCAGGAGATGAGGCCCCACAGCACAACTTGGCAGCTCTCTGTTTGTGTTACATTTACAAGACTGAGCCACTCGGCCTGAACAAGCCCCTGGCCTCCCGAGCTACCGTTCACCCCGAAACTTGATTAGTTTTATTGGTTCCTACAGCTGTCGCCGTGCGCGTGGCCAGCTCCGCACCGCTAGGGTAAATCTCCACCCAGCGTCATAAACTCATTAATAAGCTGATTTACATTCACAATGAGCTTGCACCGCGTTTATTGCTCTGGCCGGGAAAGCGGTTGTAATTGATTGCAGCTGGGGGAGCGAAGGATTCGGTGGGTCGATCTGCGGTGAGGGAGGTGCCTAGCGGTTAAGGCATTGGACTGCCGTGGAGGAGAGCTGAGTTCAGTTCCTACCTTTGCTACAGACCCCCTGGCCGACCTGGGGCCCATTACTTCCCCTCTCTTGGCTCAGTGTTCTCATCTGTAAAATGGGCGCAATCATCCATCCTTCAGCTGTCTAGACTGAGCTCGTCAGAGCAGGGCCTGTGTGTACAGCCCCCCGCACAATGGGACCTGGGCTTGGCTGCAGCTCCAGGCACGACCATAATAACGCTGCTTATGAACGTGAAGGACCTAGAGCAGGAGTGTGCCTGGGAGCTGAACTCTGTCTTGGCCTGCAAAGCCCCCTTCCCATTCCCGGCCCGGCCCTGTGGCACCCATGGGAGCTAGGGGGGCAGGGCAGCCAGGAAAGCAGGGGCTGCTTTTACCCAAGAACCAGCCTGCACCCAAATTCTCGGGACCTGCACCCTCTCAGCAGCCAAGGGAGGAGACGCAGCAAGGCCCAGTTTGCTCCTGATCCACAGAAGAGCAAATGCAACTCGAAGCTGTGCCGGGGGCTGGCGTGTGCCAGCTGCCGGTCGCCGATTGCTCAAACCAAGGGCAGAGAGGGGGAGAACCCTGCCAAGGAAGGCCCAGCGTAGCCTCTTCCGGGTTGCTGCAGCGCAGCTCAGAGCGGTGGATGAGCAAGCGCCTGCCGGGCTCCTTCTGCTCCATTGTTTCTCCCTCTCTCTTCCGCGGGAGAACGGGAAGTGCTGCCCCCCGGTGGCGGCTGAGGCTGCGGCCCATGTCATGGAGTGTGGGGGAGTCAGGGCCCTGCACCCCCCACTTCCTGCGATTCACCGGGACTCTCAGCCAGCCAGTAAAACAGAAGGTTTATTAGACGACAGGAACACAGTCCAAAACAGAGCTTGTAGGTACAGACAACAGGACCCCCTCAGTCAGGTCCATCTTGGGGGGCAGGGAGCTTAGACCCCAGCTCTGGGGCTCCCTCCATTTCCCCAACCAGTTCCAAACTGAAACCCCCTCCAGCCCCTCCTCTGGCCTTTGTCTCTTTCCCGGGCCAGGAGGCCACCTGATTTCTTTGTTCTCCAACACCTTCAGTTGACTCGTTGCAGGGGAGGGGCCCAGGCCATCAGTTGCCAGGAGACAGGGTGTCGACCATTCTCTGTGCAGACACCATCACACTGGCCCTCTAGGGCTCTGCAACCATCACACCCCCTTATCCCACCACCTAGATACTTAAGAAAGGCATAGGGGAAACTGAGGCACCCACACAGTATTCAGAGAAAACATTAAGAACATTCCCACTTCGTCACAGCCCGTTTCCCCAGAGTCTCCGGCCTCACCTTATTCCGCGGCCTCTTCCTGCAGCCCCCAAGCAGCAGAGCCCGCGCATCGCTCCAGAACTGCCTGGACATGAAGATGTAGACGGCCGGTTTGGCCACCTACCAGGAACCAGCACAGAACTGGGAGAGCGCCGTGGGAGCCGGCCAGCCCCTGGAGCAACAGAGTGTAGGATGGGAGCCAGCAGACCACGAAGGTCCAGGAGCAGCACCCTTCCCAAGCGAGCGTTGGTTTGTGCAGGCAGTGGGCGGGCTTCGCCCTTCCCGGAGCACAGGTGCCCCCGAATCTTGGCCTGCGTGGTGGAGATGACGGCCAGCGGGATGGCAAAGGTACAGAGGAAGAGGGCCACGGCATACACTCGTTGGCTGGCCCCGGGGAGCACCACGAAGCAGAAGGATTGGCGAGCGGAGCAGCGGCCAGTGCGGCAGGCACCCAGATGGCAGCGGGTACCATGCCAGCTGGCAGCGATAGAGATGCGCCACGGCCAGGTCGCGGTGCACGGCCAGGGTGAAGGCGGTGGCGAAGGAGTTGGCCACGCCCACGAAACGCAGGAGCGTGTGGAGGCCGGCCCTGAAGAGCCGCACGTGTGTGGTGGCTGCCGCGGCGGCAAAGGGCCTGCGGGCCACCTGCGGTACGTCCGCCAGGCTGAGGTTGAGCAGCACCGTACTGTGGCGCGCCGTGCGCTTCAGGAGGATGGCGAACGCCAGCCCCAGGGGCCCCAGCGAATAGTGGTCTGGCCTTCCCAGGCCCGGGTCCTCCTCTCGCCTGCTGTGCTTACATCAGCCTGCAGCCTCCCTCCCGGCTCCTCCGCCTCTCTCCACCCCCCTGCCAGCCCCCTCCGCTCGCAACAGCCCCCCACACCCTGGCTGGTCCCCTCCCAGCGTCTGTGTGCTGGACGTGGGGCTGTTGGTAGGGTCAAACCGAAGCCCCACACGTGGCGTGAGGTGCTGCTTGACATCTCTTGGAGAGCCCCATTCCCTGTATCCTCCACCGCACACCTTCCCCAAATCCAACCGCAGTTCACCCTGCGTTGCCCCCAAGCCAGGCTCCTCTTTTCAAAGCCATCCTCCCCTTGTTCCGCAGCAAGGCCGTTTGCACAACAAAGTATCACAGACCGTTCTGGAGGCAGCCCCTAGCACAGCACGGAGCCGTTTCCTGCCGGGCGCATCCTGCTTCATGGCTGATCTGACTCGGGCACAGGAGCTAGTGAGCGGGTCGGAGCGAAGAGCAAACTCCAGCCGTGCGTGCCCACCCCGATTCACCGCCGCGCAGGCCGGCTGCTGTTCAAATGGACTCAGCCCCGGAGGGACCCAAGCAGCGCCGTGCGCCCAGCGGGACAAGCTGGAGTCGGCTGCACCGCATGAATATTAAACTCCTCGTCACGGCTCTCCTTCCTGTCCCCTCGCCAGCCCTGGATAATTACAGACGACACTTTCATGGGATTTAAAGGCCCAGCGGCGCTTGAGATCGTCCTGATTGTTGTGTGCGTCTCGTTTACATTATTAAAGCGCGGGGCTTAGCGGGGACGAAGTGTCTCTCCGCGGAGCGGGGGCGCAGGCGGCAGCTGAGTCCCGCATGCCCCATTCGCTCTTCAAACACTGACTCGAGGCATAGCAGCGGGTGCGTCGCTCCCTTCGGAGACGGTCGCATTAGGTCCTGTTGTTCATTGGTTTCGCTAGTGGAGCTGCACAAACCCAGCCGTGCCTGGCTGGTTCATTGCAAAGCGCCTGGTGCCCGCGGTGGATCCCGGAACATCTGGCTTAGCCCTCTGGCTCTGGGGCGGCTCACAGCACTGGCCGGCTCAGGGACGCTGCCTGATGTTTTGTGTACAGTAAAGAGGGCTGTAGTGACTCGACAGGAAGAGGAAGTTCCGATCGAATTCAGGGAACCCCAAGCCCCCAGCTGTTCCCTGCGTACACCCCAGTGGAGGAGGGGCAGGGCGCTCTCCCCTGAGACGGGAAGAGAGAGGGTCATTTCCCTGCTCTGCCTCCGTTCTCCCGTTGGTACCTGGCCTACCTCCCGCGGGTGGCAGGATAAATGCCTTAGCGACGGAGGCGTCCCCGTGCCGCGGTGCTGGGGGTCAGAGAAGCGCCGTACATGGCCAGAAGCGTTACTGGGAGACGCCGGGAGCGTTTCCTGGGAGTTTATTTAATGCAATTAAAGTAAACCGCCGTCATGCCTCCGAAGGAGCCGGTGCTGATGGTTTGCAGCTGCCGATGCCCGTCTCTGAGGCAGTCAGTGGAACAGTTGAATGGATCCGAGCGACTTGAGGGCTGTTGTAACTGAGCAGTGTTCGCCAGGCCAGGTGTGCAAGGCTACGTTGCTGCACACCTAGGCGCTAGAACAGGGAAGGCCCATGACCTTGATGTTACCACAGCCGGGCTGAGGCCCTTGTCAAATCTGAGCCCAGCTCTACTGGCTGATTCCCCAGGGAGACCAGTGCAGAGGACGTGCGAGCCTCTCCTGGTTGGCTGAGTGGTGTTTCACGCTTGTTTCGCACTAGTGTAAGTGACAGCACAAGAGTGGGACAGTGCTCGGAGAGCCCTTTGTCCCGTAATGCGCTGTGTCTGAGCCGGTGTCATTTCTGCGTCACTCCGGTGCAGTCAGCCTGAGCCCCTGGCCCCAAAGCCCACGTTGGAGTCGGTTTCTGCCCTTGCAATGGTGTGAACCCAGAGTAGCCCCGCTGGTGTCAGCGCAGCTTCGCCCTGTTCCCATCAGCGTCGGGCTAGAGGTGGGAAATGAAAGAACTTGCTCGTGACGCTAGCGGAGGGGGAGAGGAGAGTCGGGGGGTGCTGCAGATGGCGGTGTGAACCTCGGGTATCCTCGCTGGGCACTGGGCATGGAGGGCTGGTCTCGGGAGATTTGAAAGTCTTTCCACTCCTGAGAGGAAGGAGGGTGGGGGGCTTGCTGCAGCATTTCAGTAACATTCCCCGAGCCCTCAACAGAGGCGGTACATGCAGGGCCTGCCCCCTTCTCCGGCACAGGGGTCCGTGGAGACGTGCCATGGGCCCAGAGAAGTCAGGGCCTTGGTTTTTAAGGCCGTGTTTCCGTAGGATGATGGCAGTAAAGGGCGGGGGGCACTTGACCTTGTAGCCCCAGGGGGCCTGATGCCCTGAGCTGTCTGTGACTCCAGCCTGAATCGCCCACTGCTGCTGTTAGCCTGTGTCCCCCTGCTCCATTTCGCTGCTGCTCTCGTGTGTTGCGGCCGAAGCGCTGGCCCACGTAGAGGATAACAGCTCTACTACTGCTCCCGGCCGATGGAGTTCTCCGGTAGCTCCGGGGCGGGGGCCTGCGCTTTGAGTGCTGAAGGTCCCAGTTCCGAACCCGCTGGCAGGCTGGAGCAGGGAGGGGACGACTCAGGGAGGAGGGGCTGTGAAACATCTGGAGATGGCACAGCTGGGCGCTGAGTGTGGGGAACAGCCTGGCTAGCGAATCTCATCCCGCTCTGTCCCCCATCCACCCCCCGCAGATGTGGGCTCAGTGGAGGGGCTGGCGTACCACCGGGGCTGGGACACGCTGTACTGGACCAGCTACACCACGTCCACCATCACCCGGCACACGGTGGATCAGAGCCGCTTGGGGGCCTTCGAGCGGGAGACGGTCATCACCATGTCGGGAGACGATCACCCTCGAGCCTTCGTGCTGGACGAGTGCCAGAAGTAAGCGCTGGGGCCTCGTGCGGGCGAGCGGAGCGGCCATCCTGGAGACGGACAGCCTGTGCACGGGGCTGCGGGGAGAGCCCCCTGCCGCGGGCCTCAGCCTTGCTCCCCCGTTGCCGGGGCTTAGGGGGCACGAGCAGTCTCTCTGGGCCTGCTCTCGAGGGGGCTGCGGTGCCCTTGGTGACTGGGACACGTGTAACCGGGAGTGGGCTGGGCACAGCAGAACTCATTTCACAGACAGGCCGTGGGAACGTCCAGTCACGGGCATTCTGGGCTGGATCAGAGCTGGCGCCCCCTAGAGGGGGAAAGGCCCCGTGCCCCATTCCCTGCCCCCCTGAGCCAGTGAGTCCCCCACCCTGTGGACGGATCGGAGCCGGCGCACCCTAGAGGGGAAAGGCCCCATGCCCCATTCCCTGTGCCGCGGAGCTGACCTGGAGTTAAATGTGAAGCATCGCGTGAGCGGATTGGCAGAGCTCCTGTCGGGATCCCTAGCGGGTTTCCCCAGCTGCTGGGATCGGTTTTCTGGCGGGCTCTCTAGTCTAGTCCCTGTTACTGCCCCCCCCCATCCCCGATCCGACCGGGTCATATCCCTGTAACTGCACCAGCAGCCCCGTTCAGCCCAGAGCCTGGGGGGATCCCCCAGTGAGCAGGGAATAGCAGCGTGGGGCTGTAGCCCGGAGCTCCCCAGTCCCAGAAGCCAGGCGGGCCGGCCCCAGGGTCTCCGACTCAGCTGGGGCCCACCATGCAGCCCCGCCTGGCTCAGCCCCGCCCCTCCCGCCTCCCTCCCCTCAGCCTGATGTTCTGGACCAACTGGAACGAGCTGCACCCCAGCATCATGCGGGCCACCCTGGGCGGGGCCAACGTCCTCATCATCATCGACCAGGACATCCGGACGCCCAACGGGCTGGCCATCGACCACAAGGCCGAGAAGATCTACTTCTCTGACGCCACGCTGGACAAGATCGAGCGCTGCGAGTACGACGGGTCCCACCGCTACGTGAGTGCGGGGGGCAGGTGCAGATCCCCTGGGGCTGGGGGGCGGGGGCCTGGGGAGAGCTGGCTGGATCCCCTGGAGATGGGCAGAGTGGAGCCTGGATCGGCGTTATCCCCATGGTGGGCGGTGATGGGCACTGGTACCTGACCCTGGGCACAGCCTCCTGTGAAGGGTAGGACCCCCCCAGTCCAGGGACTGTCCAGTGTTGGGGGCGGCTGCAGCCGTTGGTCCCGTCCGCCCCCAGCCCCGGGGCTAACGGTGTGAGGCGCCCGGCAGGTGATCCTGAAATCGGAGCCGGTGCACCCCTTCGGCCTGGCCGTCTACGGCGACTACATCTTCTGGACGGACTGGGTGCGCCGGGCCGTGCAGCGGGCCAACAAGTACGTGGGCACGGACATGAAGCTGCTGCGCGTGGACATCCCCCAGCAGCCCATGGGCATCATCGCCGTGGCCAACGACACCAACAGCTGTAAGGGAACGGGCCGGGAATTCCTGCCTGGAGCCCCCACTGCCCCTCACGCCCGCCCCGCCCCGTCCCCTGGGCAGGCTGGGAGGGGTTCGCCCCATAGAGACCTCCCCTGGTCTGTCCCGGTCCCTCCCCAGCTCTCCCGTCCCCTGTGCGGGCTAGGGGTGGGGATTTACCCTGTAGAGACCTCCCCTGGTCTGTCCCGGTCCCTCCCCAGCTCTCCCATCCCCTGTGCGGGCTGGGGTGGGGATTTACCCCATAGAGACCCCCCCCCCCGCTGGTCCCGATCCCTCCCCAGCAGACTGCTGACCCCCCATTCAGCACAGGGGCCTGGCCCTGTCTCCCCTTGGCTCTGGGAACCTGCCGGCCAGTCCCAGCACCCGGGATCCTGCACCCACCCCTGCCCTAGAGCGTTGGCCGGGGTCTCCGCTGGGCCTGCGTGTGACTCTGCTCTTCCCCTGCCCCCAGGCGAGCTGTCCCCCTGCAGGGTGAACAACGGGGGCTGCCAGGACCTGTGCCTGCTCACCCCCAAGGGGCATGTCAACTGCTCCTGCCGGGGCGAGCGGGTCCTGCAGGAGGATTTCACCTGCAAAGGTGAGCCCCTCCCCCCCCGGGTCACGCACCCTGCGCGGAGGGGAGCCAGAGGGCGGGGAGGAGGATAAAGGGGAGAGGGAGGAGGGATGGAGTAGGGAGGAGGATGGGGAGGGGGCGGTGCGCATGGGCAGGGCGGGGGTGCCACATGGAAGGGGGATGGGGAGGGCATGGTGCATGTGGAAGGGGGTGCACATGGATGGGGTGCACGTGGACGGGGGAGGGCGTGGTGCACGTGGAAGGGGAATGGGGAGGGCGTGGTGCACGTGGAAGGGGTGCACGTGGAAGGGGATGGGGAGGGCATGGTGCACGGGGGGGGGGGTGCACGTGGAAGGGGGATGCAGAGGGTGTGAACGTTGATGGAGTGCATGTGGACGGGGCGCATGTGGACGGGGGAGGGGAGGTCGTGGTGCACGTGGAAGGGGGATGCAGAGGGTGTGAACATGGACGGGGGGTGCACGTGGACCGGGGAGGGGAGGGCGTGGTGCACGTGGAAGGGGGATGCAGAGGGTGTGGACGGGGGAGGGGAGGGCGTGGTGCACGTGGACAGAGGTTCTTCCCTACGCTGTGTCCCACCCGCAGCCCTGAACTCCACCTGCAACGTTTACGAGTTCGAGTGTGGGAACGGCGAGTGCATCGACTACAGCCGCACCTGCGACGGCTCCGCGCACTGCAAGGACAAGTCCGACGAGAAGCAGTCCTACTGCAGTGAGGGCCTCTCGCGCTCGCTCCCCCCCCCAACCCCCCTTCCGGCCCGGCGCCCGGTCGGACTCCTGGCTCTGGGCTGGGCGTACGGTCTAGTGGGTAGAGCCAGGACGCCAGGGCTGTAGGAGGCAGCGTGCGTTAGTGGCTGGGATGGGGGAAGTGGGAGCCGGAGCTCCCGAGTTCTGGTGCCAGCCTGGAGTATGGTCTGGCTTGACTGGGATTGTCCTGGGTTCTCCGCCGGGCAGATCCCTTCGCCTCCCCGTGCCTGTTAACCGGGGCTGGGGCTCGCTGACCACACCGACAGGGGCGGCTCTATCAAGAAATGGTAGGTAACGGGCACCGGCGCCCCCCCAGCGGGACCCCCCTTGTCTCTGAAAGCTCCGCACCGGCTCGCGCTACGAGCGACCCGCATGGCCGGGAATATTGCTCTAGGACTTCAGCGTCTGAGCCGGGCGCTTGATGGTGTGTTAGCCTGACTCTGAATGACCCTGTTCCTGTGCTCGGGGCAGAGCTGGGGGAGGCTGGGCCATCCCCTGGGGGGCCTCTGCGCCCCCCAGACGCTGCCGTAATACCCTCTGCTCGCCGTGGTCCCCCATGGGCAGAGAGGAGCTGTCACGTGCACGGTGCCCCTTTGTGCCCAGCCCGCGGCCCTGGCTGGAAAGCCCCTTCGAACGGCGAACGGGGGGCTGGCAACCCCCTGAGCCCCCCAGCTCCCCTCTCTGCTCCTCCCCCGCAGGCAGCCGCAAGTGTAAGAAGGGCTTTCTGCACTGCATGAACGGGCGCTGCCTGGCCAACGCCTTCTGGTGCAACGGCATGGACGACTGCGGGGACAACTCGGACGAAGTGCCCTGCAACAGTAAGCGATTCCCCTCCCGTTCCTGGTGCTTGCGTGCCGCAGGCGGCTCTGGCACCGGGCGGGCCTGGCGCTGTCCCAGCCTGCTGCGTGACGGAGGCAGGGCTGGAGGGCAGCGGTGGGGGTGTCAGACTCCCAGTGCAACCCCCCAGACCCGGCCTCGGCGGCGTTCTCTACGCAGCAGGGCAAACGGGAGCGGCTGGACCTTCCTCTGTCCGCCTTGGCTTTTCCCGCCGTGGCTAGGAATCCCGACCCATCTCCAGCGGTCGGGGAGATTCTCTCCGCAGATACTCGAGTGAGATGTGGGTATTTCAAGGTGGGGGGGGGGTGCTGGAGCCATGTAACGTACCTAGAAAGAGAGAGACCCTTCGTCCCGAGGCAGTTTGCAAAGTACCTGGCGGCTTTGGGCTCTTTGTACATTTTGTAAGTAGAGGAGAGTTCAAATAACCCCTTGCCAAGGCTGCCTGGGCAGCTGTGCGTGCAGAGCGTGGGCGTGTTTGCACGTGGGAGACACACACGAGCGTAGGCATGTTTGCATGTGGGAGACACGCATGTACACACGAATGCTGGCATGTTTGCATGTGGGAGACACACGAGCACTGGCGTGTTTGCATGTGGGGGCTACACACATGAGTGCTGGCGTGTTTGC